TTTACATAAGAAGCGGCCGTGCACCGTGCACCATGTCTGATTCCCTGCAGTACACCTACTTCGGCGATGGCGAGTCAACAAACGGACTTCCAGCCTCCGTGGTAGTGGACATATACTGTGCGGAGCAGCGAAAAATGGAGGGATAAGGAATTTGGAGGCAGGACGCAGGAGGGAGGAAAGAAGAAATAAGGAAGGCAGGAAGTAGGGACTCGAGCTCGGAGGGATGAAAAAATGAATTAGTCGAACCCCGGTATTCAGACACAGGGAGTCGAACCCCGCTCTGCCGCCTACTAGTAGTACTGGGCAAACCCACCGTATCAGAAGCGGCCGTGCGCCGTGCACCATGTCTGAGCTATCCGCCTTTCTAGTAACACAGCCAGGTGCGAAGGAGGAAAGCAGGAAAGTGACGAGTCAGCATGCTGACGTCACCTCGCCCACACAAATGAGCGAGCCTCCCATAAAGCAAGAGGGGACCAGAACCAGCACCAGTCCTACACAACAGCCACAGAAAAACCAAGACGATACATTAAATGTACACTATAAATACAGCATTGCAATGGCGTGGCGTAGCGTTGGTGGATATATACAGTCCGGTCCTGTCCCTCACAAGTCCTCTCATCCTCCCCGTACTACACCCACACTTCCCGCTCTCTCCCGCGGCACGTACAGCCGCTCCATCCCTTCGCTCTCCCCTCTCGCGGCCGCGTCAAATAAAGCTCCCACCCCCACCCCCACCCCCGCCACCCCCAGCCCAACACGACTCACACCACCCCCGCCCCCACCAGCCCCACACCCACACCCACGCCCACCACAACGCCGAGCACGAACGCCGCCCCGCGCCCCATCCAGCGCCACGGCTGCCCGTCATACTCCCCGCCTTTCGCCTCCCCCGCCCGGCGACTCTGGAATGAAGCAGGGCCCCGCGGAGCCGAGCCAGATCCAGCCCACCACCCCGCCGCGACGCCGCGCAGGAGCGCGAGGAGCGACGGGAGGTGCAGCGGGTCGGCGTGCGCGTGCGCGTATTGCGGGCCGTACGGATACTCCTGCGGGTGCGCGTAGACGGGGTGCACGTCCGGCTTCTCCCCCCGCCCGTCCGTGGCGTGCGCTTGCGGACTGTCATCATCGTAAGTGGGGGCCTGTGGTCCCCACTCGCGATCTTGCCGCGCCGCATACGCATACACATCCCGAGTGGCAACGGCAACGGCAGCGGCAGCCGCGCGCCACACCAAGAACCTCCCCGCCGCGTCCGCGCGCAGCGCCCCCACGCGCGGCGCGCTGAGCGCCGCGCGGAGGGACGCGGGGGTATGCATGTGGTGGTCGTGCGCTGCGGATGACGAGTGGGAACGGGAGGTGCGGCGTTTCTTGCGCGGCGGGGGGTCGGTCGTGGTTATTGTGGGTTCGGTGGCGTGGGCAGAGGGGAGGGCAGGGTCGGAGGTGGGGGAGGGCAGAGGAGGGGGAGGGGGAGGCAGGGTAGCGGTGTCCGGCGGCTCCTCACCCCTTTCATCGGCGGGCAGAGCGGATGGAGCGGGTTGCGGCTGCGGCGGGAGGAGCACGAGCACGGGGAGCAGGCGGCGGAGCGCGGCGGGGACGGCGAGGAACGCGGCATCCGCTGCGGCGGTGTCCGGGTCCGCGTCGTACGGGCCATGAGACGAAGGGGTCGACGGGGAGTGCGGGTCACGCGGGGGCACGACGACGAGCGCGGTGTGCAGCGGCGTCGCGGGGCCGGCAAGGAGCGCGGCGAGGAGCGGGTCGTCCTGCGCCGCGGGGCCGGGCGCAAGGAGCGCGGAGAGGGCGTGGAAGGGGGCGAGGATACGTGCTTCGATCGCGGGGAGGTCGAGCTGCGGATGCATGGTATCATATCAGATCCCGGTGGATCGTGTGCACAACAAGGAGACACACCTGCCGCACGTCCTCACCGAGCGCGACGAGCTCGATGTTGCGCCGTGGCTCGAAGCGGGTGTCGATATTATTAATATTGTTGAGGCTATTAAGGTTGTGGGTGTCAGCGGCGTCCGTCCAGTCCGTCGACGCGCGCAGCACACGGACGGGCCCCTCGCACACCCAGGGGCCGACATCGACGACATCGGGGTTGTCTGCGAGGAGTGCGCGGACGGCGGGGCCGGGCGGGCCAAGCACGAGCAGGCGCAGCGCGCCGAGTGCCTGGCCGCGCGGCGTGGGGCGGCGCAGCGGCGCGGGGAGCGTCAGCGACGGGATGATCAACGTGTCCATGTCTTGTTCGGGCAGGTGGGCATTGGCGTGCGGCGGGTGCGGCGGGGACGCGGCGGCGGATGAGAAGAAGAAGGAGCTCGAGACAGAGGGGAAGGAGGAGACGGACGAGCCGGAGGCGGAGAGAGAGGGCGAGAGCGGCGGCGAGGGCGCGGGGCTGGGGGCGCCGGTGTCTGTGTCGACGTCGGAGGGGCGCGGCGGGAGGGAGCGGATGGTGTCGGCGCTGGTGCTCAGGCTCTCCATGGCTGTGGGAGACAAGAGGTGTGTCAGCGGGTTATCTGATTAGATTGCATCCACAGTGATCTCCGCATCAAGCAGACATCGCTTCATTCGATTCGAGCCTGGGCCATACTGAAGTAGCTTTGCTTTTTTCTTCGTCTCGCCGCCGACGTGGCAACGGCCCAGCCATGGGCGCCATGCAAAAAAAAACCCCGACTGTCCTTGTCTTTCGTTCAAAAACCGCATCGTGAAACACGGACGGGCACTAGTACTCACATCCCTGAACGCGGGACTCCTCCAGCAATCGTACGACATGCCTGAGCGACGAGATGCTTCTCACATCTCTCGCCACAGCTACAAGCCTACAACCCTCCATCTCAGACGTGGTGTACGGAACACAGCCGCTCTCAGTCTTTACTTCGTGAATTCGAATGCGGCAGACGGGGTTCGACTCCCCGCGTCTGAACTTGAACCCCAACTTTTTTTTAAAAAAATCCAAACTCTTCTTCCTTCCAAGCCACTCCCTCACCCCGCAGGTAGCGAGTCGGTACCGGACGTGGTGTACGGAAAACACCCCCGCATCGTACCCACTACATGACTGCTATGGGGAACCCCGGCCGGCGTCCGAATAGCACTTGAAGCGTGGAAGTTTTTTTAGGCTTGGATTGTCGGAGTCACTCTCACGTTTTCCCCCCGTAGTTCTGGTATTTGGTATCGGACGTGGTGTACGGAACACTGCTGCCCTCATTACTCGTAAACTGATAAAGGAGACGGCAAATCGGGGTTCGATCCCCCGCGTCTGGACAGGCCAGATTCCCCGAAGTTTTGGCCTAGATTGCAGTTTTGTCTCGAAGTGTTTCAAAACCTCTCACATCTCGCCTCGCAGATGTATGATTTCATCTCGAGCGTGGTGTACGGAACACGGCTGCCTTTATTTATTATTGTCGCCTGCCTACAGTATATTGCAGCACATTGGGGTTCGACTCCCCGCGTCCGAATGGCACTTGAGGCTTGGAAGACTTTTTTATCAGATATTCCCGCTATCACTCTCACGTTTCCTCTCAGTAGCACCGGGATTCGACATCGGACGTGGTGTACGGAACACTGCTGCCCCCATTAGGCACAAACGGATAACTGAGACGGCAATTTTGGGGTTCGACTCCCCGCGTATGAATGATAAAGGTTTGAAACATTTATTTTTGCTCTTTAACCATCTCGATCGCTTCTGATATATCATTCATTATGTATCCATAGGAGTTCAACTCGGACGTGGTGTACGGAAAACAGCTTCTTTTCTTGTTCTTGGAATTCTTGTGAATACAGCAGACAGGGTTCGACTCCCCACCTTCGAAATATCGGATAAGAGCCACTTTTTGTTGGTTCAAGATCCTTAGATGATACCCACATCTCGCCCCACAGCCCGTACACTTTGCCTCGGGCGTAGTGTACGCAACACAGCTGCTTCCATTTCGCATATGCTATCTTGTGATGCAGCAGATCGGGGTTCGACTCCCCTCGTCCGAGTTACATTTCACCGCAAAGTTTTTTTGTTTGGTTAAGTTGGGATGCTTGTGTATTTTTCTTTTACCATTTCCATGGCTTTTTTACATATCGCCCCGCAGATACAGTCGAATGCATTGGACGTGGTGTGAGGAGCGTGGCCGCTCTCCAGACCGAAGACAATTGATCGCGGATGCGGCAGACGGGGTTTGAGTCTCTGCGTCTGAATGGGCAGACCGCTTTGCACTTTTTGAACCTTTTCTCCTCACAGATCTATACCCTCAACGCGGATTTGGCGTACGGAACAATTAAGACGTTAATGCTGCAGCAGACGGGGTTCGACTCCCCACGCCCGAATATGTTGGTCTCTAAAGCAATCGTTTTGAACTTCGACAATCTCTAGTCCCCCCTTCAGATCTATACCCTAAACTATGGTATACTGTGCGGGCACGGCTGCCTCTCTTCATAGAGCATGATCTCGGAGAAATGCAGCAGACGGCCACCCGTAAATGTTGGCTTTCCTCACCGTTTTTAGTCCACGGCCTGGACTGATTCTAACATGTCGCCTCGCAGATGTAGGCCCTTACCTCAGACTTGGTGTACGGAGCACGGTTCTCTTTATGGAGTGTTCATAGCCGGCGCCAATGCAGCAGATGAGGTTCGATGGGGTTCGACTCCCCGTGTCTGAATAGGTCGACTACTTGATCTTTTTCTCCTAGATTCACTGACTTGTGACATCTCGTCCTGCATGCCTAGTAATTCAAATCGGCTGTGGCGTAATGGCTGCTTCTCCTCATCGAGAGTAAACGCTAAAGGAAGCAGATGGGGTTCGACTCCCCGCGTCTAAATAGACAAGTGGTACCAAAGCGGTGCGAAGTCTTTTCTCATTGATTGATGGACCTGCGGTTTTGCTTCTCATAGATTATTCTTCAGGCTGTAAGTTGTACCTTGCCCGCGGTGTACAGACCGATTCCAACCTCAGTGTTTCAAAAGGTTTGACAGGGGACACAGGGGCTCGATGGTCTGCGTAAGGCACGTAGATCTGCGAGTTCGACTCAGGCGTGGTGTACGGAACACAGCCGCTCTCTGTACGGAGTATAGCTGAACTCTAAATGCGGCAGATGGGGTTCGACTCCCCACGTCTGAATGATGGCTTGTCTCACCATTTTAGTCCAACATCCTTTACTTCTAATTTTATGTCTTCTAGACGCAGAGTGGTACATCGGACTCCGTGGTGTATGGAACACTACTGCCCTCATTCATCAATAGCGTATAACCGACGCGGCAAATTAGGGATCGAATTTCCGCGTTCGAATACTTTCCTGTCGATGAAACTTCTTTGATAATTTCCTATCCAAATTTTTCTTCCTTGGATACCTGCGTCCTGATTCCGTCTCAATCCGCAGGTCAATGACCTTGTATCAGATTCGGTGTACGGAACACAGCTGTTCTCATTGCCGACGATGGTTAATCCCGGATGCGGCAGGCGGGGGTCGACTCTTCGCGTCTGAATGGGTGTATATTTGGCGTCAATTTTTCGTTGCGTCTTCTTCCTTTGCTTCCACGGTTGATTCTCACATATCGTGTTGCAGATCTATCTTTGGGACTGATAAACTCGGACATGGTGTACGGAACACCCCCGCCCTTCATTATCTAGAGAAGAGCTCAAATGATATTGCAACAGATGGGGTTCGACTCCCCGCGTCCGAATGATTCGTCTCGAAACTGCTTGTGTTTTGGTTCAACTTCATTTTTAAATAAATCACACATTTTGCGCCTCACATCGATAATTTTGTCTCGAATGTGAGGTTCGGACTACATCCCATCTCATTCTCCACCATAATACAATTAAACGAACACTGGGGCTCGACTCAATTATGTAATTGTCGAATGACTTTTCTTCTCACCAGTTCATAATTCTTGCGAATGTTTCTGACTTATCCTCCTGCATAAACTGAAATTCAACTGAGCCGTGGTGTACGGAACATTCCCCTATGTCCACCTTGGAGGCCACAGGAGCGAGTAAAATCGGGGTTCGACTCCCCGCCTCCGACTTGGCAAGCTTGTTTCTCCCATTTAAAAATTTTTAACTTTCGCTGTCCAACGTCTTCGGATGATTCTCACATCTCCCCAGGTACCGCCTTTGAAGCTTATCTCAGACTGGTGTATGGCACACAGGTGCTTCTCTTTCCACGAGCATCAAGGACGAATGAAGCGGATAGGGTTCGACTCCCCAGGTCTGAATAGGGAGAGTGAGCAGTATTTTTGTTCATCTAGCGATGGTACCGAAGATCTGTGGTTCTGTCCCAGACTTGGCTTGTAGCCTACTAAGTAGTATCAGTGATTTTATTATCTGAAGGATCAGAAGCTCTGCGTCTGTATGGGGCTCTCTTCAGTGTTTTTCTCTTTCGCAACAGTGTCGAATCAACCTATCGCTACTTCGACGAGCTTGGGTCCTTCACTACAGCATCTATCAAGGCACGTTTCATGAATGTTCGACCATTGATAGGGATTAAAATCAGACTTGCATGGTGTTGTTCAGCGTCAAGTTGGACGTTGCGGAACTTTGATCCGAGGTGACCGTACTGTACCATTTCGTTCAATTCTCATCGGCTGTGACCTGTGACCGCGGCATTCGAACTTGAGATTTCGTACATGGTCTGGGGTCGCCGTGACACCGATTTTTTTCCGTAAAGTCCCCCGAAACGAGTAGTAGATATGACTCACATTTGTATCGTCGCAGCCTAATACTCAGTTCACGAGCCATGCATGAGAGGAGGGGACTGGCAAAGCAAAGCGGTGAGCTGTCAATGCCGATTTACTTCCGCTCACGTCAAAAATGGCATTGCGTGTGAACGCCGCGGCGCTGATCACCACACGCGCCGCCTAGGCGGTAGGTAGGTAGGTAGGTAGGTAGGTAGGATTAAAAATTGATTTTTTGGGGCCATTTTCCGCCAATTTTGTGACATGTTTTGAAGATTCGAACCTCCTCGCCTGTGACACCCCAAAAATTTTCGTATAAAAAGGGCCCTGTGACCTGTGACATATGAATTGAATGAAATGGTACACCACTGCTATGGCCCACGTGGCATCTTCGCAGCCTCCACCCAACCTCCATCATCTCCTGCGAGTAGTGACTGTACTGATAGCGGTTCAAGCCCGACCGCTAAGAGGGCTTTCTTGAAAATGTCAGTATATAGCGCCTTGTCGACGTAGCGAGATTGACACAGATTAAACTCGATGAACAGGGACATACATATTATTACCATGTCGGATTCTACGTGCTTGACGTCCCGTCTCCCTCAAGAGTTACTTGACTATATAATAGAAAAACTCTGGACGGATTTGCCCACCCTCTCGTCTTGCGCGCTCGTCTGCAGGGCATTTCTCCCTTCCTCCCAAGCTCAGTTTTTTTCGGTGATCAAGCTCCTCCCACCGACCCCATCCACAAAAGCGCCTGAAACTCGGCGGCTCTTCCAGGTTCTCTCAGAAGCTCCCCATCTCTGCCCTTACGTGCGCAATCTCCACATCCATGACGGCGTGTCTGGAGATGGTGTCCCACATGCCTTTGATTCTCGCTGGGTGGCCCTCGACACCCATCTGCCCCGGATCCTCCAGCTCCTCCACAATGTGCAATACCTGTCTTTCCGGGCGCTGGACCACGATTTTCACTGGTACCGCTTGCCAGCAGAGCTAAGAGCGGCTGTATGCGACCTCACCGAGCGATCGAGGCTCCGCAATCTGAGTCTGGATAACTTAGGGAGGTTTCCAGACCTGAAGGAATTCTCCCGGCTCGTAGCGTCCCCCGTAATACAGACTTTGGGCCTGCACAACGTCGTGCTTCCAGACCTAGCCGAAGAGAGGGGAAGAATTGTGCTGGACCAAGTGTATCTGGATTCATTGAGGTTGGCTGTGCGCGATGAAGCCCTCGAGGTCGCCATGAACTGGCTGACGCAGGGGGCATCCCTATCCCAATTACGGACGCTCTCACTCGTGGCGCCCAACAGTACCTCTTATATCCAGAGAGTTACGGAGACATGCGCGACTAGCCTGGAAACCTTCCAATTGGCTTTGAAGGGCGGTGCGCTCTTTTTCCGGTTTTTATGATCCATCTGGTTCATATTCATATACAGAACCTTCGGGTTACTCTGCGAACTCTTGCAGCGGCCCTCTCGCTAGCTTACGATCCCTCCGGGTCCTCAGAATAACATTCCTGACGACCGTCACCAACCAACACATTCCCTGGATAACAGATCTTCTGCATCCCAGCCCCACCCCATCGGCCCTTTCTCACCTCACCTTCAGAATTTATCTCAGCACGCTCAATTTCGTCGCTTCTCTGCTCCCTTTAGATCCGGCCGTTTGGGAGACGCTTGATAGGCTTCTCAGCGAGGAGAGGTTTTGCGCCCTAGAGAAAGTCGAATTGGACATCAACTACATGAATCGGTTCGCAGAGGGAATCGCACGCCAATACGCCGGGGCGGCCGAACGCGGCCTCCATCGTCTGAAGGCCAGAGGAGTGTTGAACTGTGCGGTTGCAAGTATGCACGACCCACCAAAGTGAGTCGTTTCAATAAGTGGCGGTGTTATCTGACATGTCTAAAGGACCCAGTTGCCGGATTGACGACAGGCAGTTCAAGCCATCTGGGTGGTCAGGACAGGGACACGTCTAGATAGACGACAAAATGCATGTTATGGTTTCAACGAAGAGGAAAAATACGGCATTTACAACACACGATTACACGCCCGCCTAACTTTGACTGACGTACTCTTTCAACGTGTGGGTGGTGATTGATGCGCTCTATTCGAGCGCTACACCTCTACCACTTTGTTCTTCGTTTCATTCATGTTAACGCTCGCAGCTGAGCCGTCTTGGACTCAGGCTTCTTGCCGGACTGCGAAATCGAACCATCAGATGAGCATCGAGATCAGGAGGCACAGGTCGAACAAACTCATCGAAGTCGATCAGCATAACGAACTCTAAGAGCTGCAACGCAACCATGATTACAGTCCCAGTCGCCCCGACGCCTGCCGTGCGCATCGACCAGCGCGCCGCGGAAGCCCCTCAATGCAACAATATTGTTTCGGGTATTCTCACAGCGTCCAGATAACCAAGGAAAATTCGGGAATGGGACAGCTTACTTATACTGGGTGGGTTCTCTGCAATCATTTTTTCAATCCCCGACGGTCCGGCGCTCCGCCGGGCCGTAAGCACCCAAACGTTTGGAGCTGAGACTAGCACTATCCCTAATCATAACAAGACTTGCCTTCGTTTCGCTACGGAAATCAATGGCATCGATGAAATTCATTGGACTATCACATGGTGGTGGGATGGATCGAGACGCTGACGGGTGTGCTCGGAAATAGTTCCAAAGATTTTTGTGAATAAACCAGGATACACCGACATTTGCTCAGACTGAGATGAAAACAAAATTGGGAAAACGACGATCCGAGGCCTTGCCAAGGCCAGCAGGATGGGCAAATCCGTGGGCTAGGTCAAGGACACGAAGAAGCGAGCACCAAACAATACAACAGATTGTGCGGCCGGAGCGAGGGCTACGCAAACAGTATTCGTTGATGGAAGAGTGGGGGATTTCTGGTGTTTTGTATCGTCAGGCATACGTGGCCGGAGGTTGAACAGCTTCTCCTGCTGCGTAGCACGGGCTCAGGACCTAAAAAGCTACACGTCCCTTTGCAGATCTGAGATGGCAAGTACATAATATACTGCTTTAGACTACGGCAAAGCAGTCATTGGGTTACGAGATTTGTCCGTCTGTTTCTTTCTCTCTCTCTCTGGTGGGTGCAAGTAAGGCTCCAACCATTCAGTTTTCGTTTGCAGAAACCGGTAAACTAAACAGAAATGGTTCAAAAACAGTTTAAAACAGTTTGTAAACAGTATTTTGGCAGGGCAATCTGGGATGGGTATATTAGGGTTGTCAAACCATGAATCACGGTCCCCATTGGACCCCAGCCTCTGTCACTAAAATTGCACATTGCCAGTGCCAACAAGAGCAAGACTGAGGTGGCAGGACGAAGGCGGGATCAAGGCGGGACGCAAGGCGCGTGATATGGCGGATATCACCGTGCGCCATCACTCACGTGGATAATTACTAAATTGGGAAGCATGCGCCTCGATCCTGCCAATCG